GCGCGCCATCTGTTGTCGGAGCTTCCCATATCGCGCTCACGTGTACCGTGAGTAGGCGCTCACGTATACCGCGCGTAGATGTTCCTTTCCACTTCCCTCCAGCGAGAAGCAATAACTTATAAGAAAAATTATTTGAAGAAATTCAATCTTGCATGTTCAGGAAAAGTATTCACTGTATTTTGGGACCTTCATGGGGAACATCTCTGTTTGCCCCTCAGCATTAACTGTTGGCCTGCTGGTAACACAGTTTATCCTCAATACTGGAACCATCATAAGTTGAATACCTCTTGAAGTGAAATGTTTTGAAGTTTCTGTCTGAATCCCCATTGGAACTATCAGGGCCGGATTAAACCAAATTTTGGCCTGATGCTGCACCAAAAAAATTGGCCTAATTTTCCTTTGCAAAAAGGATACATGAATTTTTCCTTGCACAATTAGAAGTATAATTTGTAGAGAACATAGGATTGCTGAGGCTAGAATTCACACGCACATATGGTAGAATTCCATCAAAATGAATCTGATTACAATACATTTTTTGATAATAATTTTTTTTTGTCCTGGCAGTTTTTCACTTTCTCCATAGGCACCATTTTATAGAAATGTCATTTTGATGAGCTCATTCAATTGAAGGAAAGGATGCACCATTCTGATTTCTTGAGAGACTAAAGATTTTTGTAGAGAAAGATAGGGATTCAAAAAGTGTACAAAATCTTGGAAATTATTTAGCCTCATTTTTAGTTTTATGCCTTTCTTTCAAAGAAACAGTATCCTAGAAGATATGTTCTTCTCTTTGAAAGAGCAGAAAGGTATATGAGCAAAGAAGTTGATTCAGAAGGAAGCTAACAGAATTTTTACTAGTACAAAGATAGGTTTAATGAAAGGCAATACCTATTTCTTTCAAAAGTTTTCTCCTCATTTCATCAAAATACTGCACTTAGTAATCATGATATGTCTTGATTCATCTGTTTTATATGCACTCTGTAGTTATGGCCCCTATTTCAATGAATTCCAGTATGAAATTAATTTAAAAAATTAATCACAAAACTACAGCATTATATACTATATGGCTGCTCCATATGTATATGCTCCAACATAAAACCAAGTACAATTGAGATTTAATTTGAAGTGTTTGGTTAAGAGGGCACAACAATATTAGTTGTTCCACTCATGGCACAAAAGATGTACATGATAAAATAAACTAATGACAAAGAAGTTCAGTATGTATCTTTGTGAAACAGAAATTTCTCATCACAATTTCAACTGTAACTTGGATTGCATGTCAAAATTTCATCCACTTATTCCATTTATTCAAAAATTCACAGAATTTAAACACATGTATGGCTATAACTTTGTGATATTTTTACAAATGTTGTGCCCAGGATGAGCACTTTAAATAAAAAAAATTTGCTTTTCTGAAGGAACCCTAGAGTGGATGAAAAGTTAAATATTTTATTCTGGTCCTGCCCAAAATTTTGTGAAAGATTCAGAAATCTTTTGAAGTTTCTTGGTGACATTATCAAGTAGTAGAGCGTCTGCAGTGCAGACGAAAAAAACGAAAAAAATTAAGAAACAATTGCAGAAGTGGGATTTGAACCCACACCTGCAGAACCAGACAGTGACCTGAATACAGCGCCTTAGACCACTCAGCCATCCTGACAACTTAATGTACCATAAGCTTTTCTTTTTCATGTAAGAAGCAAACAGTAAACAAACATGCCACAGACACATGTTACACCACGTCCTTATTATTCCCCCCCAGACCCCTGTAGGATCCTACTGGTCATTCCTCCCACTGCGGACATTAAAAAAGTTTGTGTTCACATTAGAATGCAATGAAAGGCTTCACAAAAAGTCAAGAAAAATGCTATTCAGAAACTTGGAAATCTCCTGATTGCCTTGAACATTTTCATATAGACTGTATAGAGCTATATGGACAAAGTAGAAAATGGATATCAAAACTGTGGATTGCCAGACTCCTGCTATTGGAAGTCATGGTAGAAAATATGGATCAGACAAGATCCCCATGGTTCAGTGCACAGTATAAAATTGCAAAGGGAGTGGGGGGGGGGTTAGATCTGCCTGTTTCCCAGGATGCAAGGTCAAAAAACATTTTTAGGGGCAGGGGTGTTCAGTGGTAAAAAAAACATCTCCCCTGCAAAACAGGGACACTTGGATTCACAGAAACCTGAGCAACAATGTCTTATAAGAGGGGGAAGGGGTTGTTGGTCTAATGAGTCATAGCAGGGAATGCAGGGTTTAAAAAATTTATTTTTTTACACCACAAGTGTTGATGATAAATCACTGATGTTTCAGAAATAAAAAGCATGATTTTTTAAACACCAGAAAGAAATCACTTCAGAAAAATTTTGAGGCCACCAAATGCTTTTGAAGTGGGGACAGGATTGAAAATGTTATCCTGCCATGAGTGTCATGAGTGGAATTGAAATCTTTGTTTGAATTTTCTCCTGCCCATGATTCCTTGGCCATGCATCTTCCTGTTTCTGGCCATTGATCTTGATTTCCTTTTTTAATGCTGGAATGATTGTGTGCTCTGAACTGATTTGTATGTCCTTGATCTGGTTTCCTCCTCAAATATTTTTATATATGCAGTGTGTTGGAATTTATTTATTGTTTCCTGATTTTTTAAAATCATGAACACTTTTGCATCTTTTCTGCTTTTCTGAATTTTCATAATTTTAAAAAGTTTTAGTTCGCTAGCTTGGGAATTTGAAATTTGAAATTCCCCAAGCTGGGGAATTTCAAAAAAATTCAAATTCTCAAGGGACTTATTTGCCTGGTGGGCCTAATGCTGCAGCATCAATAGTGACATTTGGCATTTCTATCCACCAAGGGTTTTATGGACCCCCGCCCCTCAAAAAGAAAGGGGGCCATCCACAGGGCCGAAAAAAAATCCTTTGATTCTTGGGTAGGCCGCGCATTCAAGACGGCTGCCGATTTTATCTCATCGTTGCCAGAGTTTCACAGTTTTCTGCCTGTATTCTTCATTTTTTGGGGACATCATCATTTCTTAGGCAAATTTGGATGGTAGGCAGGTATAAGACTGTATACAGTAGAGTCTTGCTACAGCAAAGTGTCTGGGACCTTATAATGCTTTGTTATGAAAAACTTTATTGAAAATAAATTGAATAACATTTTTAGGAAATGGACTGTTCAAAACTGTATGCAGGAGAATTATTTAACAATNGAGGGTTTTTTGTTGTAGCTTACATAATTGTCATGCTCTTAATGAAGGGAAGGCAACATCTGTCCCTTACAGTTGAAGATTTACTCTAGTGCAGATCAGACAAAACACAATGAGTTGCTTAAAAGCAGACATTAGCAATGACAAACTTCAAATAACACCTCCTTGGAGTTCTCCTCTTTCAACTGTTGTCTGAATGAACTATAATGAAGAACATTCAAGAACATTCATGTTGCTGTGAGGAATGACTTAATTCAAGGTGCATTTTAAAATTCAATTGTGGCGCCAGACAACGTCCTGTTCAGTGCAACATTACATTTTTTTGTTTGTTTCATCGGGCGCGGACGAGTCAAAGCCTTTTCCTGGGGCCAGTGACATTGAAAGATCCGATTTCCAGGGTGACCCTTTTTTTGCCTGGGGTTCAGGGCCAGGGTGGTGGATCGTTGATACACAATCATCAATAGCACCCACCTTAATCCGGCCCTGGGAACTATGCATTAAGTACCTTGGTAATTTGAATGCATTATTTATTATATTTTTGTTAATACCTTTTTTGCTGCATTTGGACATAAACAATAATTTGTTTGTATGAAAATTTCTTGCTTGGATTTGCAAACTGAGCGGAAACTCTACTTCACAATTGGGTACCATACTGTATGTAGGTATCAATATTTTCACTTGCATTCTAGCTTTCATGCTGGATTTATTTTATATTGTTTAGTATACAATGCTCTAAAGTTTAATATCAAACCTCAAACTTCCAGGAAGAAGCAAAAAAATCGATTCAAAAAGTTTGAAGCGTTTCTGTCAGGGGGAAAAAAATTACAGAATATTTTAGTTTTTAAATTATTGTTTATTTCTCATGAATTTATTTTTATGATTATTGTTTGCCTCTGCCCCCCATTATCTCAGATATGCATGTGTAGGCCTCAAATTGCATCCTAAATGAGTTGACAGAATGCTGAAATTGGAGGCAAGGGTGCATTTGCAAAATTCATATTTTACTTCCTTTCAAAACACATCAAATTTCATTTTCATTGATTTTGTTATACCCTGTGTAAATAAAATAATACCTCAAAGGCCTCCAGAAACTTTGTCTTATTGAGGCCTGAGTCAGGAGGAAAGCCTTCCAGTTGGGGAGGTTTTTAATGCATTCTGTCAAAAATATTTCAGTCAGGGACATGCAAGAAAATACTGACTTGGAGACCTTGGACTTATCCAAGTTTTACTTTCCTGTATTGGACAGCTGCATGCATATTGTACCACTAAATGTGCAAACTATTGACCTCTCCTGCTGTTGAGCATGCAAGCTCAAAGGTCAAGCTCTGACAACAGCAGACATTTCCCACAGGGGCATCCCTACGGTTTCTATGCCTACACATCGTTGTATAGTAGGTCTAATGAGTATTAAATAGCCCGTAAATTGACTGCATGATGTACAGGTGATCACAGCTTGTGTTGCTGTACAGGGGCATAGTATACCTGCCAGCCCTGACCTGCCCTTCATCGGTGTATAATGAGGAGTTTCTGAATTATTGCTGAGCTGTCGGAAGCTCAATCGTCGACGATGACGACGACGACGACACCTCTTCCCACATTCGTGATGCGTCCGTCTTCAAGTGTCGAGGAAGGAAAGAAAGACTCCTCAACAAAAGAAGAAGAAAAAAGAAAGACTTTGAATTAGTTAAACAATTGTGTTTTTCCCTTTCTTTTTGAAAATATGAAACTTTTTTTCTACAGCTCTTCTGCTGAAAATCATTCGATAATTTCTGCACATAAAATTCCTTTGATAATTCCTAGAAATATTTGCGGGTTGCATATGCCCAACACGTGCATGATGATGATGAGGCTGATTGGGGTGGTGCTTGTGGTGATGGTGGTGGCGCCTCATCATGGTGGCGCTCAAATCGCTGCTAGTGATGCGACTGATGAGAGTGAGGAAGAAGTGTTTGAAAAATTTGAATGAAAAGGGGATGATAATTTTGCTAATAATCCAGCAAGGGATGGTTCCTCCTCGACACCTACAACGACGACGACGACGACGACGACACCGACTCCCCTGGCATTTCCGCAATCAGAGCTATGCTTCAGCCAGTTCCTCAAGGGTCTCTTCATCGAGTCGGGGCTTTCGCAGCAGGACCGCCGCTCGGCGTCCCGGGTCGCCATCCAGCTCGTCAGCGACAGTGAGTGAATTTTTCGGCATTCTCCAAATATTAAAAAAAAATCTTTTTTCTTTCTTTCTTGTGGGGAAAGAGAGTAAAGTGACATCTCTCTCTCTCTCTCTCTCTCTCTCTCTCTCTCTCTCTCTCATCTCTCTCTTGTTCGATCTTGAAATTTTTGTTGCAGGTGGACTCTCTCTACAATGAAAATCGAGGGACCAGAAAAAAATTTACAGTAGACAGAAATTTCTCGTGGAGACCCCAGACTACGATTTTCTATATAAAACGAATTGTTGGTGGTTCCAAATAAGGGTCTCTCATCATGCTATAGAGGTTATCTACAACACAATTCTCTCTGGAACAATTTTTTTCTGGTCGCTTGAATTTTGTTGTAGAGAGAGTCCGCTGTACCACATTTTCTCGTAGACTTCAATGTAAACATATTTAACCCTTGGGCGGCAAAGTTGGACTTTTTCCGCAAATTTTTGTGTCTGTGAGGACAGGTTTAAAAAAAATAGTAACAGTTCACCCAGGGCAAAGTCCGGCAAAATCCCGGTGTATTTTTTAAAATCCACAGAAAAAGGTTGCCCAAAAAACAAAAAAAATGCATCACCAAGGCTGAGCCTTTTTTTTTTAGCCTCTCTGGATTAGTTGCATTCTTCTTAGATTTGCAACCCTTTCATTCTGGGCGCCAGACGGGGGATTCTTATTGCGAGGCAGACGAAGATTAGCAGAAAAAGTCTGACTTTGGGAATTATTAGCAGCACCTTTTTTGGACAAAGTCCAACTTTGCCCTAGGTGACCTTGCCTGGCTTTTGTGGCCTTCATTGAAAAATTAAACGGGAGATCACACAAGTAAATACGGACTTTGCCCTGCAATGGAAAGGAATCCTCCGCCGTCCGAGGGTAAATTGGTTCCCCTGTTTGTCAAAAATTAAGAACAGAGTGCCCAGAAAATGGAATAAATTTTTTATCAACTTCATGATACAAAAAAATATGTGCTGAAGAGAACCACAGAGAATCTGATCTTCTGACATTAGAAGGAGCTCTAAAAGAAGCCCACAAAAAAAAACAAGTCTAGGCAAACATGTGGTGCCCCACAATTCAGCACTAATATGTTGCTGGACTGGTGTCAAATTGTGAAGCCATTGAACTTTAAAGTGACGTCAAATGCAATGTTTTCTACATGGTATTTGATGTTTTTGCCCCTCTCTGTGGGACAAAATGTGGGACAGAGGTCGAATTGTGAGTCCAACTCCCTGCAAATTTCAGCATCAAATTGTAAGATGGAAAAATTGCAGAGTGGTAACATTGCAGGGTACCACTTGTACAGTGCACAGATTATGAAAAAAAAAAAAAAAATTATGTTCACAACTTTGAAATCTCTTGAACTGATTGAGCTATTAAATTAAAAAGCATTTCTCTTTGAAAGTACTGTATACTCTTATTCAAAGTCAAAAACAGACTATTTTTGCCTATTTTCATAGTTTTTTTCATAATCTGTGCACTATACAAGTGGTACATTGCAATGTGACCACTCTGCAATTTTTCCATCTTACAATTTGATGCTGAAATTTGCAGGGGTTTGACTCACAATTTGACCTCTGCCCCACAATTTGTCCCACAGAGAGGGGACAAATTGTGCCTATTTTAACACATTTTTATTAACTTGCTTTCTTGTCTGTTTGTTTGTCAGGATCTAATTTTGCAACTCAAATTTTGCTCACTTCCCGACTAGCTAGCAAGCT